TACACATCTGTCCGCCGTGCCAGAGAGTAGCTACGAAATTAATGCGAGGAAGCTGACAGACGCAATGCTCCTGTTCCTGCAGGTGACGATTTTCGTAGGGGGTGGCGGGACTTGCTGTCCGGTGCGAGGTGCGGCTTCTCCGGGACAGGAACGCTGGGATACGGCTCGTTACGAAGGGTGAATGCCACGCTGGGGAGAAGGCAAGCTCCGCACCAACCACGGCCTTTCCCACAAACAGCAAGAAGGCGTCGATTTATGGCTGGAAGAAGAAACTTGCATGGCCCAGGCGTAAACTACATTTTTTTTTGTCAAGGTAGGTACCAACAAACCCCTAGGAAACAACTCCCGTCTAGGATCAAAACCATCACCTGTCTAAAGTCCCGGATCTTCTCCCTTTTTAAGGGTTCTCATCCTTCCTAGATGTGACCGATTTGTAAAGATGCAAGATGACAGAATTGTCCTAAGATACAGCGTTACGTGTACATCTCATCTGAAGAATGATGAAACGCTAATAATACAATTAGGTGCTTGTAAGCATAAAAGGATTTCAGTTATCAAGGAGATAAAGTCACTTTATTCATTTTTAGTCGTACAAACAAGGGGTCAAACCAAAAGTATCGCTGAGATACAAAGAAAAATTTCCCGCATTAGATATAAATATTAGATTTGCGATTGTTCTGATAATTTTTACAGACACGCAGTGCATATTTTCTTCATGAAACAGGCGCTCGTTTTAGTTTTCCTTTTTCTTACTCTGTTCCTCTTCCTTCCGTTTCTCCAAGTAACGCTTCAGAATGTCGTTTAGCTGCTGCTCGCACTGGCTTGCGTGTTGTAATCCGTTTTCCCGTCCTAAAAGCGGCAACAAACAGGGTAATTACATCTCCCCTCACAGCATCCATCGTGCGATTCGTCTGCGGCGACGCGAACGTCTGTTTCCCCAGGCCTGTCAAACGGCTATTGTATTTCTACTTTGAAAATGGTTCTTCTTCAGAGGTCAGCCGTTAACGAGATGCTTCCTTTGATGTCAACCAAGCAGGTAAAGGCAATAATTACTCTCGCGGTCCCTATTCTTGCAGTGATTTCATATGTAATAAATACACTGTTTTATGTAGTAGGCATACTATATACTTTATATATTATATCGTATGTATAGTACCTCTACACTGTAATATACGACGTGTATTATACATAGTGGAATTCAAGAAGATGAGCCGCATGGTTTCAAAAATACAGGAAGAGAAAATAATTACCTTTGCAGTGATGAATTACTCTTCCCCACAGTCTGTTCCTACTTAAACAGGCCAGATTTCCAACAACCAACAAATGCCTCTTGGCTCTCGTTAGCGCAACGTTCATTCTCTTTGCTGAGTCTATGAACCCAACTTGTCTTGTTCTTACACACGACAAAACGGCGATCTCCTTCTCGGCTCCTTGGAACGCGTCTACAGTGGACACCTGGACAGCTTTAGTTTCAAAAGCCTCCGAGCGTACGCCGGCGAGCAAATTCTGAATCTGCAGACAAACGAGTGTGGACGGTGATGAGTTAGGCTGCTGGCCCTCAATCGCTTGTCTTGAGCAAACGCACTTCAGCGGGGCTGAGCCCACGCAAGATGCGAACTAAGGAACCAGGGAGCGCAGCGACAGTAAAACCTCGGCTCATCACAGGGGAATGCTACGCAACGAAGCCGTATTTGACGAAACACGGGTGCATTCAGGGTGGCAAGCGGTGCTTTCGCTTAACCGATCACAGCAGCCCATGTCGCATCATGCCTTGGGTGACTGGGTGAGGTACAACGCCAGCCTTGCTAAGCGGATGCCTCTGTCACCTCTCCTTGTCGCACGTACCCGTTTGTAACGGGCCCTAACCGATTTATGAAAATTACATACTATTTAATTTCCTGGTTTTCCGAGTGTGCGTATGGAAGGAAAACAAATGGAGAGGGTTTTTTTTTTTTTTAATCATATGTTTGAATTGAAAGATCTTGACTAATTTTAGAGGAAAAAATACAGATATATATATATTTTTTTTAATAAGAAAGAGAAATGATGGTAAACTCTAGTTTACCTATCCAGCATTTGTTTCTCACTTCTAGTTGACTCTTCCTAGTTGAAGTAGAGCCTATGTTTAGAATAAACAAATATGTTCAAGAAAACTGTTTAATCGATGATACAAACCTTACACATCTGTGATTTATAAAGAGTAATCACACCGATTGCAGATCCTTCTATTCCACTTGCAATCAGGGACTGGATGAGCTTGACTGTAAAATGAACTTCTGCCATGTTATAAAAGCTGTTGTCTCTTTCAATCTGGAAATAGGGAAGATCTCCAGTTTAGCTCCCACAAACAGCGGAGTGCAAAAAGAAATAGAATGGAGGAATCGCTGCAATATTGACTTTTTATACAAGAAATGTTTGAAAACTTACTTGCTCTACCCCGTTAACACTATAAAAACATAGTGTTGGAAGCCAATCCAATAAAGGACTTCTGTCTTCCTCGGAAACACCATCTATCAGATTTCCTTCATAGAAGAGGTCGTTGGCTACGGCACTAATAGCAGGGTGACATCGGTACTGCGTCCGAAGAAGTATTGTTTTATGTCCCTAAAGAATTACGATACGGAAAGTGTGACTAGGAAAAAGAATTACTAAATATTTTGCAATGCCAGCTAGGTCAAACGAGAAATAAGTGGAAACAATTCCCGCAGTAAGCTGGCTTAACCTTCATACATTCACTTCTACGAAAGTTAGAACAAATGTAGCCCCTGATTCTTCTGCCTGGATTGAAAACTGCACAAAAGGATCAGAAGGCAGAATCTGTCACTGTTTTTCAATCCATTCTTGTTTCACATTTGCACGCTGACAAATTTCCGTGCGCTCTGAAAATAACATTTACAGAGAAATGCACTAGAATGGAATCGGCTTAGGTAAAAGACAGGCTGAAACACTGACCCTCTGACATCTAAACCAGAACTCTTCAGTGGACCTACAGTTTCCCCCTCCATCTTTTCTAAGGATGTGGTTAGTAGTACGTACCATTGAGCAAAGCCGGTCAAAGAGAGTCTGCTCCAATCCCTTTTCATGAACACTCTCGGACCCTTGAATAGTTGGCGGTAATTGCTTAGGGTCTCCAACAAGGACTAGCTTTTCGCACTGAAACCTAAATGAGAATGTTAAAAAATAAGAAAAAAAAGTTGTAAAAAGGATGTCAAACTATCGATAAAAAAAGCGTGTGCTGTGTTTATGTATCACAGGCTGCTTTCCATCAGGCTCCCTTCTCCAGCTCCCTCTTTCCACAGTTAAAATCACATGGTAAACTCAAGGAAGGCAACTAAGACCAGGCTCCAACTTAAAATTGCTCTTCTTGCTTTCTAAGGCGAGACCTCGGAGTTCACATTCCTAAAATGATGTGCAAGTTTGGCCGTTATTTCAGGTTGTGTCACTGCTAACTGAAAGTTATTTCTCTGCTGAAACACAAAAGGAAGGCTGTACCTTGCGATAGGAAGGAGAGAAGCAGGTTCAGTCATCTGACTGCACTCATCCAGCATCACGACAGGAAACTTAAGGCTGTTCAGACAAGGGAACGGGCAGGCAGCACAGGTCACTCCGACCACTTTTACCTTTGTTATTAGCGAGGGGAAAATGGGTAGACAAAAAGTGAAGATCATTTAATAGTTAATCTCTGCGCCGTACGTAACTATAGCTTTGGCTAAATTAATTTTTAGCCGTTCTCCTGCATGCTGGGTCGTACTCGCTGGGTCCCAAAAAATTATATTCTAACTTCCAGTAAAAGGCACCGTGTGTTCACGGAGATGGAGCCAAGGTTACCACTTCTTATGCTTGGGGTGTTTATACGTTAGAATCATTCACGGATTCATGTATTTTAAGACCAGACCTGGTCTGGTACAGAGAGAATTCAGATTACACGATCCTCCCAAACCCTCTGAGCCCCAGCAGCAGAAGTGCCAGCAGTGACCGCTAGGAATAAGCGCAAACCCCAAATTGCTCGGATCTGCTTCGTTACAATTGCTCTACAACAAGCGGGGATTTTTTGGGTCTAGGACTGAGGAGAAAAGGCAAATAACTGGAAAGACCAGAAATTGAGAAGATTTTTCTACAGGAAGTAGTAATCCTAAAACGTAATACTTTTCAGCAAAGTTACTTAAAATATATTTGACATCTTCTTGGCGGTTGATACTCAACTCTAGGACAGATTTACTATCATGAATCTTAGAATCGCTTCAGATGCCTCAAAGATTAAGATTTATATAGTCATAAAGGACTCTCACCTTTATGACTATATAAATTCTAGTGTCAAGGTGACGGTGCAGACTAGCTGTGCTCAACATTTTTTTCTCTCCCCACCTTATGAACTAGATTGGTAATATTAAATCAGACTGCAGTAAAGTTCAAAAAAGGGGTTCTGTCGCACAATATATCACTAAACAGGAACTGCAAGTTCAACTCAGACAAGTCATACACAGGTAAAACACTAAGCCATACCTGTGGAATCAAACCCGTCCTAGTCCTAACATCCGTTTTATTTTCCAAAACTAGGAGGTTGGCAGGGGTGAGAGGGGATTCCCCGTTTCCGTTTGCTGGGCCTCGTGGATAAGACACAGCGAATCCCCACTTTCCCATCCTGTCACTTTGACTGTACCTGTTGCAGTATAGTTTTATTGGTCCCCAGTTTATGTTGCTCAATACTCTTCCTTACGTATATTTTTTCAGCTGGAGTTAAGTCTTCTTTCATGAGCGCAAGCAGCTCTTTTAACTGCTCATTTTCATTTCCTGAGCCGGCATGTAAACTTCAAAAAGATTTTATAACATGCATTACAATGATTGAAAAGAACAGTGCTTTCAGTGTTTGGTGAACACCCAATATAGAAAAATAATCAGACTTTATACATAACGGCACTTTACAACAATGTACTAACCTGTCCCGCATCCAGCTGAGATTGAAAAGGGGTATCATACCAGTTTAACACGTGTACTAAGTGACTTCCCCAAGTACACAGCTGATGTCAGAGTGGAGTAGAACCGCGGAGAAGTTTTTCATTCTCGTACCACTTTATACCCTTGGTATGCTGCTGACACCAAGGAGTGGAAATTTATTCTTTACTCATCTAGAACTTTGCTTTGTTCTCTCAAATTGTGTTGAAAGTACTACATAGATTGCTTACTTTTAAGTAGTTAAAGGACAAACCCCAGAACGCTACAGCAAAGATAACTTGGTTAAGTAGTACAGAATTGATGAGTTGTTACCGTTAATTCTCCGAACATTAAATTGATGATTACTTCCTCCTAGTTCTTATCACGACAGCAGTACACATCTATTTCAAGTCTGTCTGTTTTGCTTTTCCCCTTGCGTAAACTCCCAAATCTGTAACTGCCATTATTTTCTTCTCCTCTACTACTTCCCATTTAAAAGCATTAGCTCTATTCAGCAACAAGTGACATTCCCAAATCAAGGTAAAATTTCTCCACCATGCAGGGGGGGGAACCCTGAGGTAGGCATATGACGATCACATTTTGAATGACTTCAAAAGAGTACTTTTACAGCATGCATACTATCATGAATCTTAGAATCGCTTCAGATGCCTCAAAGATTAAGATTCTTACCTATGGGGAAGAATCGCTTTGGTGATTTTCCTAATGCTTCCCACTCTGATAAAGTCCTCAAATCCAAGATCAAGTAGACTTCAAAGAAAAAGAGGTGATACACGTTACAGAAATGTAAAAGGAAATTTTGAAAAAAATTTAGAAGTGGTTCTGAAAAGGCCACCAGACACATCAGAACGCTGAGGAACACAAACTTCTGCGATTAACCAGATGAAGTAACTCGGGCCACAATTCAAGTACATCAAAGTAAATCACCTCATCGTGAGTTGTCTCAAAAATGCTTAATGCCTTTATGATTCTCCTCTCAGAAAGAGTCTTCCATTTGTACTTTCCCTTCCTTCCTTTATCCTTCCAAACCATGAGTTTTATTTCATGTTAGCTTCATGCTGAAGCTTCCAAAGTCTCCCTCTCCCTCTCTCTCCATGCCTCCTTCCCCTGCCCCTACTGCTACTCCCGAAAGATTCCTGAGCAATGCTACTCTCTGTCATGATGGATTTCAATAGTAAATTTGATGAGAGCAGAGCCCAATATTAGTCTCGTGTAAATTCAGGCAGCTAGCCTTACGGTCTTTTAGCATATGCACGCTGTGCAAAGGAGCAAGGGTAAAATTAAAACCCGCGTGTGACACTTCCTAGGCAAAGAATGCAATCTTTTTCGAGTGTTACACTGGAAGCATCAACACGATTATCTTCACGACACAAGTGCGTTACTGGCTTTGGAACAGCAGTCTGAAAATCTCTGTAACCTACCCCAGCAGTATCCTGTCAACGGCAACGTTGGTGGAAGAAGCAACCAGAAGTTTCCACGGAGCTGGCCTTGGACCCTCCGTAGCTTCACTGCTTTCGAAGAGCTGCACTAGGAACAAGATCACAACAGACAGCAGATAGCTCTTTCCAGCTCCAAACACACCTGGTATTTTGGAAGAAAAAGCCAAAGTTACAAGTGAAAGTTCTCTAGGAAGTACAGTTTTATTCAATTGTTATAACTTATCTTATGAAATACTATGCTGCGATTCCTGTAAAAACATTCCACGCGCTTGCTTCAGCAGCTCTAAGCATCCAGGGGCAACCAGTCGCCTTACACTTCGCGTTTACTGCCTGCAGTAAGTTTACAAAAAACTACAGAAAAGGGGATGCTAAGGTATTTTTCCTAAATTTTCTGGTTGAATACATGCATTACTGGCTAAGGAGTCTCATCAATACATAAAAATACTACAAATACAAGTATCTGCACACACGTCCCTCGTACCGTGTCCTCAGGTACAGAATAAAGAATTTGAGAAGTGATTATTTTGGAATGACTAATAATTTTAACTAGATTAATATGCCCGACAGCCTAACAAAAGCTCAGGCAATTTAAGTCTAGTGGTAGCTGTACTAAGAGTGTCATTATTGTCAACGTATTTACTTCGACAGGATCTGAAAACTTACGTTTATGGTAACTGCTTTTCAATACTAGTTTAAAAGAAAAAAAACCTGTTTAACCAAGATGTTACTAGCTTTTTTGTACGTGTTGAAAAGGGATACAACAAAGATAGAAGCAAGTATAAAACAGCAAGTAATAAAGTGTAGTAGAAAAAATTTTACATGATAATTTAGCAAAGCTGATACATGACAAAGTGTTTTTAATATGACAAGAAATAAGCAGAAGACGCTACGAGCTCTGATTTTGTGTATAGATCTTGCTAGGAAAGAACCCTATACTTACGTAAAATCCTGCAAAAGGCAGAATGCCAATTCAAGGATCAAAAGCTCTGTGCTGATAGAATGGATGTTACAACGTCAAGGTCATTATCAGAGGGGCCTCATCCGAGAAACGAATTCTCAGGAAAGGCATGAAGTAGGTGAGGACAGCAGCGTTACAGAAGAGTTTAAAAGGATATTCCGTACACAGAGGCAGTTTATTCAAGCTCATCTTCTGTGCTACATTTAAAATAAGTCAACATTTACCTAGTGTTGAAACCGAGTTTAGTTAGTTAGTGTTACCTGCCGAAACCAGGACACCTAGACATAAGAATCTCCCTTTAAGTCTGCCTGGAGTTGTAAATATATGATTAAGGAAACAAGTCTACTGTTTCATCACTGAGAGAATTTAGGGATATTTCACCAACGCTGGCATTACGTATTAATTAGCATTTTTGCAAAGATAAAGATAGCAGCAAACTTCACAATTATTTGCTATATACCACGTATGATTGTGATAGGGAAGGTCTGATGTTCTTCCACGGGTTTGCTGTTTTCACGTGAGGTCATCATCTGAGCTATTTGAATCAGTGATGTGGCTTGATCTGGGTTCAACGAGAACGTTTGGATCATCTTCGTAGCTAGTCCCATTGCCACTTCAGTGCTGACAGGCCCATACATCATTGCGCGTTTCAGGCTGATGGCAGGTGGAATAAATTTTCTTTTGTTGACTCTATTGGTAGCATTTTCAGAATCGAAATTCCTAAGAAAAATACAACGGTCAGAAGCTGCGGTATAATACTGCATATGTGTAATTTGTATCTCATGGTTCTGATGTTCTTACTCACCTGACATTGAAATGCTGAGGCTTTATCATTAACAGCTGACATAATTAAAAGTTGCTGCCCCCTGACATACACCTGGGCTGTATATTCCTGCCCCTTATTGCCCCTGGGTGACAGCTGGATCATAGGAAACAGGCTTTTGGGTTTTATCATTCTTGCTGTATGTTAACACTTTCAATCTGACTTACTCCAAGGCCAGGGGACTGACAGAGTGGCAGAGAACGTAGTCCGAGGTAGCAGGGATTCATTTAATTACTTCTTTTATACAGTGAATCGTAAGCAGTCTTGGCAATATCCCTATATTGCTCCGATTCTCCAAGAAAATATTTTATTTTTAGGTTTTGTGTCAAGTGACTCTAAAAATTGGGAAGGAAAACCAGTTCCACTGAACCCCTGTGAAGCGTATACATTAACTTAATACATATCAGTCAGCGACAGTACTATCGGTCTAATGGTCAGTAATCTCTAGGTTGTAAAACGTGGGCTGCAGGTAAGTTTTAAGGAAAAAAACAACTTACAATCGAATTAGAGTTAAGCAACCGATGTACATCAATGAAAATCGCATTGTGAACAGTTCATTCCTTGCACCGTTTTTCTGATTTTAGTTTTCCTCATCCACTTTTTAATAGGGCAAACTCAACGGTATTTTTGTTGGGTTTTTTTCTCTACCTGTTGCCGTATTGCCTGTTCACAGCATCACTGAAACAGTCACTTACGTTTTGAGTAGATATGGTATTAGTGGTAACGTAGATGGATTGAAGTGCTCCTCCAGATTTCTTAAAGATGTAAGCTCACCGCTAGCATTGCAAACCAGCAAGGCATGAACAAACACTGAGAAGGCCACAGAAAAATACAATTGGGAAAAAATGAAATTAGCCAAAATTTCAAACCAGCTAGATAAATGAATTACAGAATGCCAAAAGAGTAATTAGCCTCCTGTAACAAAAAACAAATTACCCCAATTACCACGTCTGGCTGAATATTATAGATGAGGAGAGACCTATTAGCCCTTCTTTTCAAGGTGCGTTTTTTTGAAGTATTTGTGATCCCAACATTAGCCACCTTCTGGGAAGGAAGCTTAGGTAAAAATCCTTACTCATTTTAGAAACACTCAAGGTATTTAGAAGGCTTTGGAATTTAGGAGGTGAATTTTTTAAGTAAACCGTCTGTATCACAATAGCTAAGCAGGTGTTTTCTTCAAAAAGGCAAGACGGGAACAGAAGAACGCCTCCGATGGGCCAGTCTCAAGTTCCATCTAGCCTACTTCCAAAGTGTACAAAAGTGGGCGCCTAGGGGAGGGTCTAAGCACAGAAAAGGTATTCAATTACATTTTTCTGAATTCACTGCCAGTTTCCTAAGGTTCTGGGGCTCCGGGATTGCCTAAGTAACAGGTTTCTAATATGTTTAGTAACTCACATACCTCTATTTTGCTGTTGTTTATCACTGCCACCAACTAAACATTACTTAAAGCTTTATTTTCATACAACTTAGGGTTTTAGTTTTGTAATAGTTATAGAATTATGAAATAATCTGTATTTATGATCACAAAGAAAGTGAGGACCAAAAATTTCCCAAGGAAAAATAAAATGCCACAATTCAACAGCATGAAGACTGAAAAGCGATATATTAACTCCTCCAGACCCTGGCTGCTCGAGAGATCCAGTCCTGCAATTCACACTTGGGGAACAAACAAAACCAAACCTCCAACTGCATTTGAAGCCCATGGTTTTGATAGCATGTATGCCCACAAAGAATTTGTGTGCCATTGTATTTTTTTTTTTTTTCCCCTCTGTATTTTTTATTCTTCTGAATGTAATTCAGAACGGGAGTTTAATGTGGGCTCACTGAATTGTGCTTTGCTGGAACTCTCCCCCTAGTGATTACGTAGAAAGCCGAAAAAGACTAATTTGTTAACTTAAAACACTCAGTTTACCTGCTTAAGGTTAAGTGCTATGAATAAAGCCTTTTGTGATCAAGCACACGATTTTCATATTGCATTAAAAGAAAGTAAGCAGAGGTATAATATTACGAGCTCCAGAATGACTACATAATGCATTCTTTATCTTTCTTTTACAAAAAACCCAAAATGAACCCAAAACTTTAGCTCAGTTCAACAGCAAAAATAAGAGACTTTTGCATCATGTGTGGCAGCACATTTGTCATTTTTCTGTGACGTCTGTAGCAGACCCACACTGTTTCTCCCTGCACTTGAGGCCCGCTAACCTTACTGTTTCCCAAACACCGATGACAAAATATTACAAAAATACCCCAGACAAAAATGTTAAAGCCAAAAAGACGGATGGCTGCAACTTAGTTGGGAACAGCTTGCTAAAGAATAAAAAGGTCAGCAGTTCACTAAAAACCGTCAGTGCTAGGTTTAGTAATATTTTCTTTTTAAAATACAATGATGAAAATAACTAAAACTAGACAGATTTGTTCCTTCTGAATTTTGAAACTCCGATTTTTTTAGTCATTCTAGACTGTAGCAACAAAGGCACAGAAAGGAGCGTCGGGACAGCCAAATCACAGATTTAATACATGGCTTTTTATATAAATACAAATTTCCCATAGCGAGTTGTTGGGGGGTTCTGTTTGTTTTTCAAGGACAGTAAGAATGTATTCCTCTTACCTACAGGACAGTCAATTTGCACTCCATGTTATATTATTTACTACATTATTTATGTTGTCCTCGTTTCTTCATCACCCGTTTAGAATTTCTTACCAGCTACTTTGCAGGTTTAATTGCATCAAGTACTGTATTCAAATTACATATTCAAACACACAAGGAAAAAAAATACCGTGAATGAAATCATGTATTGGATTGGAGAAATTCTAATCTCATCCTTCATTGCTGGCCAGATTTTTCCCTCCATAGTTGTCTCCCACAATTCTGAATTACTTGCTGTAGAACTCACTATTTGATCGCCAGTTTGAGGGACAGTAGCCTTTCAGTGGTAGTAATTCTACTTCATTGTTGGAGGATGGTCCAAAGAAAGCACTACTTGCAATGAAAGTATCAAGGGGCTCAAAGTTCAGAGTCTTCGAAACAACCCAAATATCATCTGTCAAAAAAATACAGAATTCTCATAAGCTGCTTCTACTGCTGTCTTTTAAAAGAAAACGAAGCTGGACAAAGTAGCTCAGCATTTACTACGCTGCAAATCAAACCACTGCTAACGTGAAAGTAGGGGGTATTCGAAAGTCCTAAAAAAGCGTTAGTTCAGCTCTAAAAGACTGAATAAATAATTTGCAGTTCTTCCAGTACTTACTGTCTGAAATTGATGGTGCACTTAGCAGCGTTTGACTTCTGACAAATGTGAAGCATTATCAGTTTTGAGAGTATCTGGAACAAATCACCGCAGTACACGACAAATCTAGTTAACCACGCTTTTGCCAGAGAAGAGCAAGTACCGAAATAAACGTACGCTTTCCCTTCCCTTTCAAAACCAACACGTGCTGGAGCCTGCAAGTCTTGTGTTTTATTTGGCACACCTGATGAGGCTAAAGCTCACTGCGCTATTCCTACACCATATATTGCAGAGCACGGCAAGGGGGATCTCACAGTTGGGAGCAATAACGGTGCGTATGTATTTGCCTGGAACACAAGTGATCAGAAATTATCATACACAACTGAAAGTTTTGCCCATGCAGAGCTTCAAGATTTCAAGTTACAAAACCCTGATTTGTTAGAACATTTCGGTCTGTACATGAAGCGTGCACAAACAAAGACGTTTGTTTCTGCCTAATTTCCTTTGTATCATTTTCAACAGCAAAGTGAACGAACTATGAAGATATGGGTATCAGTTCAAAAATTCTTGAAGTGAAATGAACCATCTGGATCAAATCACCGAAAAAGTTCCCCGTCTTTGTGACATTTCAATAATTTAGAAGAGATACGCAACAACTACCGAAACACAGATTTTTACATCACGTTTTCCTTAAATATCATCTATTTGAATACTGGGCTTTCCTCAAACTTCACGATTCACAGATTTAATACACTCCAAACCCAAGGACGTGGAATTTATATTTTTGTAAGGTAGTTGAACATTTACAAGAAAAGATGAATTAATGAGATACTTTGTTGCCCTTCTAGAATAAGAATAGAATTATCAGGGCTATCAGCAGATTAAAAATAGGATTCCGTTTTTCTCTTTAGATTACAAATTAAAACTCTAAAAAAGGCACAACATGACACAGACAATTGTTCTGACGCTTAAGATTTGCTTACCTTTGCTATACAGAGAATAATGCTCCTTTCTGCTCAGTTTGAGGTATAATTTGGTTTTGGAATCGCCATCGAATCTGGCAGGTGTATTCATAAACTTCTTGAACTTACTACACCGCTGTGTTTGAATTTCAAAGGCTTTCCTGTTAAATTGTAATTTTAGGAAGAAGTATGTAAAAAACTGGCACATTTTGGATTCACCACCAAAAATAAGAACGCTCCACAGATTGGACCCAATTATACAGCGCAGATCATAGAATCATGGAGTAGTTTGGATCTCGGTGGTTGTTCATCATCTTACATTACCAAGTTTTAAATAGGTTTATCTTGACTGCAAAATACTTCTCTCATATTCAACCATAATTAAATTGTTTCCCCTACAGTTAAGCAGCACAGAATAGCCTTCGATACAAGTACTAACATTAGAATTAGAATCGCTAAGAGAATAAATCGAATTCTCTTACGAAAGATTAAATGGACAGTAATTCAAATGCAACAATCATAAGGGATTTCATTAAGCAGTTGATCAAGTCGCTGGTAAGCAGTTTTGATTCTTGCCGAAAAGAGTGCTGACCTGAAACGCCATTGCTGTGAATATTATTCCTTCACTAATTTGGCTTTTACATTTCTACACGGAACTGTTGCCTCTTTAAACACAGTTAGTGAAAGTGTCCGTTAAATGCTGCTGAAATCCAGAGCTACTGGAATATTTATAAATCCTGCAATTCACATAGCACTTGGGAAAAGCGCGTAGCGTTTCAGAATACCTCACCAAAAGCTGGCATCCCTCATAGAGAGAAATCTTTTGACTTCTGAGGTATGTCCCAATACTTTTGATATCGTGAAGCACTACACTAGGTGTGGATTTTATCTGTGCGGGGTTCACATCTTCGATCCACTTGAAAAACGAACACTGCTCAGCCTTTGGGGCATCACAGGTATAGAACAAACGACCCTAGGAAGGGAGGCAGGAGGGGAACAAAAAAAAATACCATTAGCACGTTAAAACAAACAAGCAACAAAAAATGTAAAGCAACGGACCGGTACTCCCTGCTATAGAAACAATCAGATAGACACCTGTGTTTTCACTACGTTTGGCTGAAAAACACAAGGGTGTTCCCAGAACTCTCAGCTTCTGGAGCCAGCGTGTGTCATCATACCTTACAGAAATCCCATATAACCTAGAAAATTATAAATTCAGGTCTTTCTCTCTACATATATAAAGCTGTTTCTGTACAGAGAAATCATCAACAATTCTGGACACTAGTGGCTACTACAACTGATCTTAAAAGCGATCTCTAGAACACATCCCTTTAACCTGCAATTGTAAATCATAGAGAATTGCCCTGTAATTGTTCACATGATACGGTCTATATGCCAAACACCCCAAACTGTAAACAAACAAGGAAGAAACAGCACCTTGTTTTGACCTTCTTTTTTAACCGTAACAAGCTTGGCAGGATGCATGTGATTGCAGAGTGGAACGCAGCTTTCTTCGCTCTTACTTTGCCCATCTTTCAATGAAGTGTAAAACGATATATCCACTTTTGAAAGAGCACTGTGTAATCTTTGTGACAACTCAAATAGCACTATGTTTAATTGCTCTTGACATAGAAAGGAGAATAGAAGAGTTAGTACAGCCTTAAAATGGTTACACAAGTACGCAACGTTCAAACAAATACATTGCCTTGTGAAACTTCCAATCCCAAATCTAAATCAAAATATTTGACGAGAGTCCTAAAAGAAACCACGTGACCTGCAAAATTCACATATGGCACGCGCAATTAATTTGTTCTAACTGCCTTCCTTGCATTCAAATCACATTTAAGTATATGACTCCAAACGATCCAAACGCTAAATAACTGGGCGGGGAAGCTTGGATAGGAATCTGAAGACTGGTAAAGAGGCACAAGATTACGGAGTTGAACAGAAGTGTACTGGTCTTCTGGTTTGTCTTCGCAATTTTGGGTACAGACTGAACATATTTCAGTATATGTATCCAAAAGCAAATGCACACAGTTGTTCCAACAGATGATGTTGACGACCTCTCTCCCTCTCATCCTGCTTTGTGAAGCTTCAGAAATACACTGTTTAAAAAAGACAGCGTTCTACATAGCGTGGTGTTGGACGTACCTATCAGAGCAGCTTTAAAAATCTGTTTGTAGTGAACGTGAGACTGAAACACAGTTGGTATGGACATCTTTCTTTTAGGAAGATTAGCATATTTTACTTTATCCACATTAGGAAAAGACAACTCAGAAATCGTTATGTCCTAAAAAACAGAAAAACAAACCATTAAAACTTGCAAAACCCTGAATGAGACAAATATTGCTAAATGGCTACTGTACAGATATGCCAAAACCTATCCATTTTTCTTCTCTTCTTCCTTTTTTGCTTCTATATATTGTGCTCTCATTAGTAAGTACAACTAAACAGAAAAAAATCAGGGCCTCATTTCTGCAACCAGAAGTTTCAACGTGCAGACTGTCAATGAAGAAGCAGTTTTCTAAAAGCAAAATACAAAGCCCCTTCACCACAAATGTTTGCAGGCTTCGTTAACTGTAAGTACAGGAGCATGCATTCAATAGGACTGCCAACAGGAGTAAAATTAAGTATACCTGGAGCTACAGCATAGAGCTTGGACTGCCATTTAGGATGTACCATGAAGTTAAAATTTGCCCCTTTGACAAAGAGCCTGCATTTATAATAATGCCGGTAATAATTACACAATTTACTCTAAAGCCTTTGAAAGTCAGAGTCATGTTTTCAGCCCTAGGCATGGGGAAGGAGCACACAAACCCCATTTTTAACACCGTTTCTGCGCAGAAATAAATCCATCAGATGAAACTATAGCAACGGTAGTACAAGGCTAGGGAAGGAAGAACCAGACTAGAGAGCTTTGGGGGAAGCGTGCATGCCGCAAGCTATTCCTGTGCCTGCCATCCCAGCTAGTCCTGAGGAGCTTCTTCCACCTATCTACACTGCAGTGGGCATCATAATGGTATCCCTCTTCCTAAGCTTTTTGAAATCCAATACACATGGATAATTTTTTAGGTTTTTTATATAAACACACACAATGTGGATACACCAGTGTGTATACGAAATATACCAGTTATTTCCACACCTCTATTTCACATGAATATTTTACTGTACAAACAGTTTTAAAGAACTAGAAAACACAGCATACTAAGTTTGCGTCAAAAAAAGGGAAAAGTCTAACGTTTTCACTAACTCTCAAACACCGCCATTTGACAGCTTTTAAAACCTGACTTGTGGTCGGTTTGAGGATTTTTTCCAATTTACTCCATTTCTTTAAGACGGTTTACTGGTCATAAACAGCCGTGCTAATTTTTTAGGTGCTTATTCAATGCCATAACTTACTTTTCCACAATTAAAACTGAAGAAACTTAAAATATTTTAAAATCGGAGACTATGCTTTGACGCAAGATACGGCCGTTCATTAAAACGATGCTGATTTCACAATTAAGAAAAACACTTCCTGAAAACACATTCTTACCAATTGTAGATGACAAAACAGCCCAACAGCTTTTATTTCATCTTCCTGCCATCAACATTCAGATTAAAAATCTAAATCTGGCACCGTGCGGCCAAGGAATTACACAAAGGATTCGTCACAGCACTTAGAGAAAATGCATTAGCAGCTGCTGTTCTGTAGCTGAGACCCTTTTGTCTACGTTTCTACGTACGCAGAAACATCTCATCCAATCATACCGATAATATCTTGCAGGAAATTGGATAAATGCAGTTACTTTGTCCAGAAAAATGTGTTTCTGTCACTTATAACTGTATTTGCTTGAACAGTTACACACCTGGCTGTCTCCTCTTACGGTGTGGCAGCTCAGATGACTTAACACCTTTTGTGTTGCTTCAGTCAAAGGTGTCTGACTTAAGCGCAGAGAAAGTAACTTCCTCCCTGAAATCAAATCTTGGTTGCTGGTATTTGCACAGCATTTACCAAGCGTGCTTTTTGCTGTCAGTAGAGGTGCAGAGCCGGGAGCACTTTTTTTCACGGCGCTGCTCTCTCCCGTGTCACCCAGCGGCATTCCAAGGGCGTTCTCAGCACAGATGTCATCAGTCATGTCCCTATCGTCGCTGTTTTGAGTTATCAAGTCACACTGAGCGCTGTTTTGGTATTTTAGCCACTTGCTTTGTCTATACTGTGAAGCCACATTAGGGAACGCTGGCTGTACAGATTCCCTTTGTCTGTCTTCCGTATACTCTCCAAACACAGAGGTTTCATAATTTCTGTCCTCGGGGCCAAAAGCACTAATAGGAAATACCGCTGACTTGTTGCATAAATTGACTACTGAAGAGCCGAAAGATTGCTGGACCTCCTCGCTGTCAGTTGGATAAACCGCGTCAGGAATCTTCTCAGTGGCAGGAAGAGTGACAAATGGAGTTCGTGTTTTAACTGTAGGTTTGAATCTTGAGAGGTTGCATTCCTCTGGATCGCTGGATCTCTCCCATGCTGTAGGGCAAATACATCTTACAAGCAACTTGTAGCACTTACGGGTGGCACATTAACTTCAGATGTACAAAAACTAAGATAAGGAAGGAATTCTAAGCTCTTCCTTTTACGTCCTGTCTTCTAATTGGCAAGCTCTTTGTATCGTGCCTGTGCAGTACCACACTAAATTTCCACCTGACATGAGTGATTTCAACTGTGATGCTTTTAATACTTAAATCCCTGTATTCGGAACACATTTCTGCAGGCGCTCTACTTGTATAAAAGAAAACGTTTGGTAGAAATTATTAAACATTATTGTGTTTTGGAGGCCATTAATCTGATATTCTTGGTAGGTCAGTGACAGCTACCAACTGGAAAACAAACAGCTTAACATTTGCTCCTTTTTCCAAAAAGATCACCCACAAAACTGTGTAAATTAATATTAACCAATGTAGATAAACAGGCTTCTAGCACCACAAGCATCCTTTTGACTAAGTTCACTATCAATAACAAGTGACAGTCATTGATAGGTGTCAACTGGAAGTGGGTCAGAGGACAGCTGAATATGGAAGAAAACCAAAAGCAGCTAAATAAATGAAAACTTCAGTATGAATTAGAAGCTTAGCTTACAGCCTTTCCCCCCCGCCCCCAAACTAGAAGCCGATTTTTCTTTATAACATGAAACCACTCTTCTGAAGTCTCTTTCAGGAGAATATAATTGGGGGCTAGGGGGGAAGCATGGCATTCGAGGCTAATTCAGCTGATTTGGAAAACACCGTTTAAAATCGTGCTTAAAAAAAAAAATTAATGCCCCCCTGCTATGAAAAACGCGTGACAAACAAATCAAACTCTGTAGTTACCCAGACATCTCTCAGTGTATTTCAGCGCCCAGGGTAACTGTCTTTTGTAGTGCAACTCGCTGTGCTTCAAAAATCCTCAAAGATTTTCTTGCAGTAATATTGTCAAGTGCAATTAGAAACTATAATTTCTTACTGAAAAAAAAATCTGAAAGTTCTGGTTCACTTGGCAAGATCCTGTGTATCAGGGGCTCCGGGATGTCTCCAATCGTTTCCTCACTTCCTGAAGCTGGAGAAATTGTAGAGTCTGGATCAAGTGAGGAAGTCAGTTCTACTGATGAAATCATCTACAGATGAAGAATTAACACGTCAAGTGAATGACTGGAAAAAAAACTTGATTATAGCCCTTTTGTCACTATTGTCTCTCTCATTCTAAACAATTGAAATCTCTCTCTGAGTTGAGATAAAACAGTTTCAAAAATAAGAAATTGCTACCATGCACACACAAGGAATAAAGCCAAAGAGATCTCGAAGAGACAGTCAATTCACACCTTGTCAGGTTCCCATGAAGTCCACTGCGTTTGTCTCAGATCAGAACGTGAAGGTGCGCCTGACGTCGTCCACGGTGGAACTTCAGGAGACACATGCCATGCCAATGCTAGGAAAAATACGCGAAGGACACAAGTCATGCAGAATAACTGTTCTGAGGCCAAGTGCTGCCATTCTACTTTTACTTTCACTTACGGGACTGATCTGTTCTTGACTCTTTAATAATGTTAGACTTCTTTTGAAAATTCCCTTCTCTGATAAAGTTGATATCATCCTCATGAAGACTTCTCGAACCTGGAGACTTGACCAAAAAAGTATAAGTAAAAACTTGTTAGAAATTAAACTGTTTATCCTCTATATAAATATTATCTTTATGTGAATCTTATTTCTAAATATCTTATTTCTAAATCCTATTTCTAGATGGAACTCTTCAGTATCTCTAGCCCATTCTGGAAGTAAAAAAATGAAACATCAATTCTCTTCCGTTATTTTAAACACTGAAATACATACCGCATTAGAAAAAAATATTTTATTTAACATCGCGTGCCATGTTTCTTTGCATTCAGGAGGAACGGAATCATAATCCAAGAGAGAAAGTTTTAACCCTTGCTTTGGAACTCCTTAACAATTATATACCAAATTTCAAATCCAGCTGAGGTGAATATTATACTGCCAACACCAGGAAACAATCGTTATAAAAGCCCTCTGCCACTTTTCTCCAGAAGAAATCTGTTCAATATCCCACGTTATGACCACGTACATTTTTCAAAGTCAAACTGATCAGAGGAAAAAAAAAAACAAGGTTACATCTTGCAAATGCATACTCCTGTGATAAAGGTGAGTAACAGTAATCGTCTAACTGCAGGGTTTTAACCTCAAAGCGCTACGTTCCGTTCTTAGTGACTTTGATACGACTGTAGCGTTCTAAAAATGAACTCTTTTATCCTACATTTACAGGATATGTTCTTGCACTAAGGTTAGTAAGAATAATTTTGAAAAAATCGTTTTACCTGTCTGAAGTCAGAAAGGACATCATTGCTTGAAAACAGGGGTGACAAAAATCTCTCAGCTGCAAACTCCATGTTATCTGGGTACTGCTGCCATGCTAGCTGTGAGCAGGGAGCTCTCAACATGATCTCACTAGCTGCCGATCCCTTTACTTGGTGCCCTTGAAATGCAACAGGCTACGCGATATATTGGAATTATCATTAACTGAAAAGAAGTGCTGTTCTGGAACTACCTACAGTCAATAAAGGTACTTTTCATACATACAAAAATAATCTGTTGGAAACTGCAGAAGAGAAAAAAAAAAAAATCTATGCTTTTCTCTCTCTTTCTCTTGCACTCCTGCAACTCAGCAGCAATAAAGTTTTTGCACAAATCTCTGTCAACAGAAAATCGATATACTGATGTAGCATGTTTAGTCTTCTTTCTGTATTGTAAAATTTGAGTTTAAAACTCTCAGCGGAAAACTTCCCACGGACAAGTGTACTAAAAAGCGGTGAGAAGCCCATTATGAGACTGGTTAAATATTTATTAGGACTTACCGTAATATATTGCAAATAGTAAACCATTGAATTGAAATTTAAGAAACACTCTTCATTATGCTTCAGTTCCACAGAAATTGTACCTTTGGTCGGCAGTCAGATGTCCTAGGGTCTCTTTGGGCCGCCGCTACTGGTAGAGTACCTGGCTGTGTTTTCTGCAATAAATTGTCCACACAGTTGGGCCACATGTGAAAGTATCAAAAGCTAATTAGTCTAACAATTTAATAACTGTTTAAAGTGAAAAGTTGAGCTAAGAAATCTCGTGTATTTACATTTTAAATTACTGCCTTTTTATTTGGAAGCCAGAATAATCCTTGATAGGATAAGAAACTATATTTCCTTTTCAAATGGGACAGGAAAAAGAGAATAATTTAATCTAAAATCTTTCTTTCACTTTGGATGGATTGGAAGAAAAAAACTATTAATAGCATTGGACAAAAAAAAACCCACCAAAAAACCCCAATGTGGAGCATCAAGCACAAACAGATTTGCCAGTACATTTCAACCCAAGTGCTAAAATTCCCAGGAAAGCCATGTGTTCAAAAAGATAGTGAAAGAAAAGAAAAAATAGATGGTAAAAGAAGATGGGGTAGGGAAGGAGAAGCACCAGACATACTAATGTGATATTAAACGTAACTAAATATTACAATTCGCGTTAAGTTTCTTGTCATACATTAGGCCTCCTGAACATTTATTGGCAAAAGGGTCTGCAAGAAGACATCTTCTGTTTACTACCAGCTGCTGAGTCGATGCCTCTAAGCAATTTCTAGCTCAACCTCTACAGTTTCATAAACCAAGAATTTTATTCAAGAAGCCTGGTGGAAAATGAATTTAGCTTGTACAGATAGATATACGTAGTCAAAAATTGGTTACCATAAGGCCAGAAGAATCAAAGTATGAACAGGAAGATGCCTGTATTCTTTCTGAGTAAGGCATTTCTGTAAACTGTTTTATAGCTACAAGAGATGGAAAAGCATAGTAAGTTACAGTTACAGTATTCTTTTTACATCAAAACCCCTGAATATTTACCGGGCTTGCAAACCTTACCCATGCAAATAATTGCACAGTTAGGATTTCACTGAACTGAAGCAAACAAAGATGCCGACTTGGAGCCCACATTGTTGCTTTAAATACTAAAAATTGCATGAGGGAACCTTTGTAACACACCACTCCAGAAGTATGATTTCTGAATAGGAGAGATAAGAGTACAGCAGCCAAACAGGTACAGTCATACAGAATTCACTTTAACTCAGAAGCTGACCTAACCTTCATCTTTCACAAGGGGTTCCAATCTCTCTTTAGAAGTCTCTGCTTCATATAATATGCTATTATTTTCCTCCATCTTTTGTAAGCTTTCTAATGCTGTGCTATGTTGAGTCAAAGCTCTTAGAAGAGCGATACTGTTCACCAAATCGGGAAGATCTGATGAATTTTCAGCCATTGCCGTGCATTTCAGGCAATCCATTCCTATTCTGTCACCTTTGCGGGCTTCCTGAAAGGCATTTATGCTCTCTACATTTTCAAACTCGGTTTCACCTATTGCCGTTTCCTCTGGAGGTGAATGGCTTTTTCCTAAAGGACAGAGAGAACTTCTGGAAATGAGAGTATCTTCCTTATGTGAAATGCCAAATACCTTTTGATGGTCTTTGGCAATATACTGGAATGAGCCATAGCTAGGATCTGATTTTCGTGACAAAGCCAGCAAAGGACTACCTGGTGTCATGTCATCACTCTTAGTACCCCAGCAGTGCTCTAAATCAACATCTGGGGATTTCATGCGTCCAAGCTGTATAACATCTTCTTCGGTCCTTTTGTCCACTGCAGAAACTATTCTGCTGGTAGAAATACATGAAATACTTCCAGCGTTCTGAAACATACTGGTTTGGGGGTAACATTCATCAACATTTGTGTCACCAGGCAAAAGAGCAGAGCGCTTGCTTTTTATCCATGACGTGCCATTAACGGCACGCGCTGCACAGCCATCAAGATCCTTGTTATTGTGTGTGGCTTCGGTACTTAATTGACTTTCATCCATCTCTTCTACGTTGTGTCCGTCACCCAGAAGTTCCGCTTCAATTCTGGTCTGGTTTGCAGAGTCTTCTGCAATTCTCCCCGTATCGCCGACATTGTTGTCGCAAAGCTGAGATGGTATACCCTCAGTGCAGTGATTTCCATCATTCTCTCCGTCAAATGTTGAGCACTTGACTGCTTCTTTTTTACTGTGTGTCACTTCACAGCAAGAATGAAGTCTCAACGCACTATTTTGTGCTGCGTCTTCTCCCTTTAAGCAATCTGGACTTTGTGAAAGCATGTCTCCTTCAGCGAGCTTATTCGCATCTCTTTCACACAGGTCTTCATTGTCTGTGTCATTAAAATCAAAAGCCTCCATTAGATTAAAGTTAACCTCCATCACCTGTTCATCTGGATCACAGTCTTTGCCAGGCGTACTTAATTCCTCCTTTACGATTCCAGCTTCGGTCAACGTGACGTCCACAGAGAGCTCCAGGTCACTAGGCACTCTTTCTGAATTTTGTCTTGGCGGAAGCTCGCTTTGCAGCTTCACAGATGAATTCTCCTTAAGGCTCTCGGTCACTGAACGCTCCCTGTATCTGGAGAGATTTTTTTCAAAGGTGGTTGGACTTGCCGAACGCGGAACGTCACCTGAGGATGGGACAAACTGACTGTCGCTCATTCTACTCATGGTGGATTCGGGTAGGAAGGAACTATTTGTATTGCAGGAATCTTGTAAATCTTGGCTTAAGTTATTTGCCTTTTTGTCACGTCTCTGTCCCGTGACTTCTTCATCACAAGGCCGTTCAGCTGAATTTAGAAGCGTTTCAGGATTCCATGCCTTTTTATCATTTACAGTTCCCTTCGTAAAAGGCAGGTGCCCAGTATTTTGAATGAGTCTTTTGGCAGGGTTGCCTGAAAAAGCAGGTAGGATTGTGCTTTTTTTGTTATATAAACCACCTGCGTTTTCTGATGCCTGAAACCGAGAAAGACATTCTGTGACTTCAGGCGTTGTTTGCTCTCTGCACCCCTGTGTTGGTTTAGACTTCAAAAGAGCTATTATCTGAGCTGTGCTCCTGATGCTGTGCGACACCGTCCCGTGACCGGCTGTCTGACTACTAGATTCGGCGTGCCCAGTAATTAGAGGAGATTCTGGCTTCACAACGGCCTGATCAGAGTTTCGCTTCTCTGTCTCCTCCCATCTGTCAAGGAACGGAGCTGAAAGCAGTGAGGAGAGAGACATGTGTCCTCTGTCCTTATCCGCACAGGCATCTTCATGAACGTCTGCGGGTAGATTTGTTTCTGCATCCTTCTTGCAAATCGTAGAAAATAACGGAGAGGTAACATAAAACTTGGATGGAAAAGTACCCTGACACTGCTTAGATGAAGGCAACGCTGTTGGTTTTTCTCCATCTTCCATTGCTGATATTTTCTTTTCAACTTGGCGTGGCCCTTGGAAACCCTAGGAGAGACATTTTGAATTAATTCTACTCAGAAATCAACTTCACATTTTGTAATCCAATGTTGAAAACAGGGCACGCTCCATAAAATACATTCTGATCAAGTAGCACATGACGATTCCACAGGTGTAGAGAAATTATCTCAAGCCCTTGCGATTTCCACTGCAGCCTTAGCAATAGTACACCAAGCAGATTTAGTAAACTCTGGGAAAAAGTAGCTATACCGGTAACGTGTTCTGGCTCACAGTTCCAAAAAACCAGGAAGACATTATCTATTTACTGCTCCCTAAAAGATGTGCCCTTTGTGTTTTAAAATGCGTGTTAACATCAGACACAACTTTTGAAACAAAGACATACTGTAAACTTCCTTTTCAAGCCAACAGACGGATGTCTTGGAGGCAAAACACCGGGTTTTACACCATTTCTGTCCACTGCTGGAGTTCCTGCTTTCCCTGGCTGATCTTCAGAAGATTTTTCATTCGCTTTCACCGCTTCGACTGTGATCAAGTATCGTTCACTTTCTAAATTATCTCCAGCATTCACCTAGAAAAGAGAAAGCAGCGGTGTGTACATAATAGCGCTATCAAAGAAACGAGTCTTCTAAATACTTTGATGTAAAAATTTCAGAAATTTACACCCAGTGTATCACAGCTGCCGTATAAATACTTGGATTAAAATATACATCTACTAGAAAGGATTAGCACTTGGCTTCAAATTATGCTTATTTAATACGTCACTGTAACACACTGCTTTAACCCAAAAGGAATAAAGTTCTGTAAATCCTCTACGTCGGTTCTGGAGAAGCAATAAGACTTATCAATAAACAGAAGCTGTTTTCGCTTTCGGTTAGCATTGCGGCAGACTTGCATATCCACAATAAGTACTGCCTTCATTACCAAACGAGTTCGAAATGCTTCCTGAAACAGCAACCACAATCATAAGCATGAAAATATGTATTTTTTTAAATCAATACAAACAAATAAAAAAAAATATACCTGAGATTTTATAAAAATACTCTCCAAACATTGTCCTTTATCATCAAACAAGACAGCCTGCAATGAAAAGACAGAATTCTAAATAACTAATTCTATTTCACAGATCAACTAGATTGCCACCGACAGCCCAGCAGTAGCAGATGATACGCAATCCAACGGCATTAAATCCGAGTTGTTCACCTTATTTCCGCCGGTTCTAATCCTCAGAATTCCATCTTGCCACGTTTTTGATTTTTTCATTTTTTGGTGAGTGTATAATACCTGTTTCAAATGTGCAAAATGTTGAAATAATAAGTAAGAAAATGTTTAAATAATACAGCAGCTACAGCACCTTTTCATTTATTTCTACTTAGTGGTACACAGTGTTAAAAACCACTTACAGTAAATTCTTGAGAAGCCATCGCTTTGGCAAAACAGTCACCCAACAGCTCATTTCACGAATATTCACATCTTCATACAGCCTGGGAGACAGGGAAACGTTAAGAATCTAACAGAGTTGTGAAGGAAATGTAGTGACGAAAAAATAGAGCCAGTTCATGGGTTGGTTTTTTTTTTTTCCTCCTCAAAAGAAGAAGAGCTAGGTGCAAGACGACGTCAAAACAGTGGGGTCTCACTGATGTGGGCATTTTAAAGGGAAACCTTGAAAATACTCTAACAGAAAGACTACCGGTAAAAAACAGCTTTTTTTAGAGATGCCAACGTATTTTCTAACTTTCAGGGAAATTCATTCGTTTAAATGAACGGCTGGCAACTCTGAGCGCTCCAGTGATCACACTGCTGTTCGGAATTAACCAATTACCCTGAACACGTTAACTCACAGCAAAAAAACCCCCAACAAACCAAGCATAGAAGCTACTAACAGAATAATTTTGTCGCAAGTTTATTGACTCTGGGCGCGGTCACGCGTGCTTAATTCACGTTAACTGACTCTCAAAACCAGCTGCCCGTGAAGTCAAGCCTCTTGACACATTAAAGGTAGATCGCAGCGACTTATTAAAATAGCCTTTGATGATGAAACCAGGCACAAATCACGATCAAAGCAGCTCATCGCCAGAAGCCGTGACTTACTGCTGTACGTACTGGCCGACGATGACCGGTACCGCGATTTGCGTCCGGGTTTGGGGGGGGGGCTGCACTTGGAACCACAGCGCGATCCCTCAGCAGCACCGCGACGGAAAAGGATCAGGAGAGACGGGGGAAGATGTCGGCGACGCCGATACTGCGGATTAGCGGGAAAAAAAAACGTATTAAGAAGGGAGAGATCCACGCCCTTTCGTACGGCTGCCACCTTCCTGGCAGTCCCCGGGTGGTTAGTGAGGTGCGAAACCTTGGGGGTGCACCCTGGAAGGACACAGAATGACCCTTTATGTTTCCAAGCGTCGGCGGTGGACGGGGGGAACGCCGCGGGGAGGGCGGCGGAGAAGGGGGGAGCGCC